TAAGGAAATTCAAACGAGCCTATATTAAAACTATTTTGTTATTATTAACGGAAAAAGCAGTACCACGTGTTATTTCCAAAAATATGATACGCACGGATATAGGTTATATAAAGCTATAAAACATTGTCCATAAAAACTCAATAATATTCAGATATGTTGGCCAGAATGTAAACAAGTCCAGTTTTCCTTGTTGAAAAGATATTAACTTATACGGAATTACGTTAAGGACGAAGAGGTTATAGCATTATTCACAGGTATTCCTTGAAACGTATAACAACAAATTTTAACAGATAATCACTGTCAAGATAGTATAAAGTTTCCACTGTCAACAGAATACAGGAACTTCTGAAAAGAGAAAGGTGAAAAAAAAGAGGAAAGAAGGAGGGCGGAGTCCAGTCACCGCCATTTTTAATTCGTATTTACATTAAAAATTTCAAAAACAAATGACTCATATCTTTTTTTAGAATGGAAAATGGCTACCTTAGGCTCAAATGCCGTCATAATAAATATTTGAAAAATTACAGTGGTTGATCGAATAGTTCATATAAACTTTAAACTAATATTGATTTAAATAAATGTATAAGAAAACAATTCACAAATAATAAAAATAAAATAAAAAAATAAGATAAATATAAATTCATCATATTAATAATATAGACAAAAAAACATTTTAATTTATTTCGAAGTATTTTTTAAAATTATTTCTATGTAAGAATTGTTTCGGTCAAGATGCCCAACCCCCTCCTAAGGTCGATGGCGCATGACTCCTCCCCCTCATCCTGAGATATTTTACTGCTCTCCTCTTTTTAAAAAATAGTGAAAGGTAAAGTAAAATTTTAAAAATCAAAGGTCATATACAATTACACTTCCAATGGTCTGTACTATACTTTTCTCTTGTCCCCTGGTTTCAAACAGTTCAAACCGAAAATTCATAACCCCGCCAAAATATGCCCACTTCAGAAATTCAAAACCCCGTTAAAACGTGGCCCCATCAAAAGTTTTGATGGCGCAACTTGCGCCATGAAATCCCCTTGTGGCCACCTCTGGTTTCGGTACACTAAATATTTCTCTAATCATCAAAATTAATGAGTTTCCCATAATTTCGAAGTTAATTAACCTTATTTTCTAATAAGGAAATATAAACCCATCCAGCAGAAAAAGTATGAAGAGAGGAAAATTTTATTTGCGTATAACATATATAACATGCGTATAAAATATATATCATCGCTTTTATTCCAAGTCATTAAGTGACATTTCATAACCTTGAATCACTATTATTTTTGATGAATTTTCCCTCAGTAAAATAGGAAAAATGAGCGCTGTTGTCAAATGTAAAAAATGTAACTATATTTGATAAACGTCCCGTAAGTAGAGAGAAATTTTAAAAGGTTAAAAGTAGAAAATTAAGAAATTGAAGATATGTGTTTTTTAAGCGAGTCACTCGCTTAAAAAACACAAATTTTAAATTTTGTACTTTTTTGTTAGAAATTTATCAATTTTTTTATATGAACTTTTTTGTAGATTTTGATGTCTATTATTAAACTTTTAAATATTTCTCTCTACTTATGGAACACCCTGTATAAAAGAGTTTGCGTCATTTTAGTGCACTAATCGTATTTTGTTATTAATAAATATGATCTAAACTCACTAAAACCTTCTCATAAAAAAAACATCAAAAGTGGCTCATTATTAGCAAAGATATAGTAATAAAGAACATTAGTAATTGACAGAGAAAAAGGGTTAATTCCAGTCCCTCGAAATTGATTACATTTACTTATTTCCATAATATATCATCGTTACGATTACTGATTTATATTCCACTTAGTTTATTAGTAATAAAAAAATCACAACGAATAAATAAACGATACAGCCAATCTAATAAAGATTATAAGATAATCTAATAATAAAAAACAAGTGGATTCCATAAGTATTACAGCGCTTCATCAAAGCAAGTAATAATTTATTAACAATAAGATTATTTTATTCCTTTTTCATCTGTATAATTGAAACATAATGTATTAGCGGGTTTGTTTCCTGTCATTTATTTCATTATTCACTTTTTCTTTCCTCGTATTATTAAATATTATCAGTTATCTAAAACGTTGCACTTCCTTCCCAAGTTGGAATATACAAGGGCGTTTAACCTAATAAACAACTACTGTTATCTCAAGTGTTTTTCTGCATTTTCGACGGTAAGATAGAGTTGACCTGCAAAGATTATTTTTTGAAATTTTATCTTGTTTTAAGCAAACTTACATATTAACATCATCTCATGTGTTTTCCTTATTCTGCCTTTGGAAAATGATGAACCAAGTTAGGATATATTTCAAATCCTGACATTTTACTTTTTTTTTTTTGTTGAATAATTAAAAAAACAAAATTTTGATTGTTATTTAAGGCTGATTATAATTTTACCAAATTATGTATATATATTTTTTTTCTGACATGTCAAAATATCAATAATGATCTAGTTTAAACCCAAAACCCGTTATGTCAACAATTTATTAAGTACTTGTCCAGATATTTTACGTTCTACCTTTTTCGTTTAAACGATTTTTCACGATTCACAGCATAATTATCAATCCATATTGATATTACTATTATATTACATTTTTCTATTTATATATATATATATATATATATATATATATATATATATATATATATATATATACACACATATATGACATATCTTTCCTTTCTTTTTTTTTTCCTCCCTTTTCATAACAATACTCTTATAAATTATCAACAGTAAACCATTAAATTATAGACATCGCATAACAAACATTTTACCAAGATAAAAAAAAAGTTAAAGAATTTTCAAACGCCAGGAACTCAATACAACATCTCACACATATATACAACAGTAATTTCTCCAATGTAGACAAAAAGATAAGACGATTATAGACAAATTTAAAATTTAATAAATAATTAATAAAATATATAAGTATTTAAGTTACATGCCAAATTTCATTTTATCCCAACTGAATCTATATTCCAGGAGAATTTCCTCGCTGTTTAATCGAATAATCCATGTGCTGAGAGCTCCTGCTACTCACCTACTTGACTAAAAAGATTTTTTTTTTTTTATAGGAGTAAAGTAGGTAAAATTACTAGGGATAATACTAAATGAGTGAGCTAGGTTGGAGAAGAACTAAGACGTAGTGGAGTAGAGAAGGCGAGGGGACCGAGGAACGTAAAGGTGAAGGACGTACTTTGGCTCGGTAGACCGGACCTTGTCTTTTTCTTATTTCGTGTTTACTTCTTTACCGGCACCTGCTTCTCCCCTCGATCCGCTCTCAATTAAAACATTCATTCACTTGTTATCCATTTACAAATTATAATAATCCAACCTGTAAATATTGTATACGATTATTGGAAGCTTCAACTTAAATTGATTTATAATTCACTAAAACAGGTGTTAGCGGACTATTATTGCATAACACATCCACTTTTCAGATCAAAGTAGGTTCCACCTGAGATCGTATGATATTTATAGTCCGTGGTGCAGATCCCTTTTTATTAAATTACAAATATCCGCCTGAAACTTCGTGAATAGCTTCATCTGATCGTAACCTAGAACTATTTTATTTACAGTTAAAGAATCGGAGGCAGTGAAGATTTTATAAGTAAAGTTTTTATTCATAATGTCAGTTACAAATGGCATCTAACATACAGAGTAATATACTATGGTTATATGGGTTGACTACACGAGTTCACTCCAGGTCTCCTACTGTGAAGAGTGTGACTTCAAGAATGTAACAGCATGAGTGATTAGTCTAGAGGAGCATGGTGTTTATATGCCCAAGAATAGCAAGGGAGTGAAGGGAAGTCGGAAGAGGACGGCAAAGGAAGTTATCAATAGTTAATATTCTTAAGATGAGGTCTGTGAGAAAGTGCCCTTTTACTGAAATCTGTTATTGTTCCCTAAGTCTTGATAATGGGTCTTCTGTCCAGTCAGTACATCCTATATAACTATTTCTAAGCTATCAGAGATAGCTTGACCTGGCTATCTAGGGACGCTTTGTTCTTCTATCCTTTAAAGTCCTGAGAAACGTCAATACAATACATGATTCACCAATTGGCATATTAAATAAAATAAAAGTTAAATTAATATTATTATTATTATTATTATTTGTTACGGATTAAGTCCATTCCGTAACTTACGAAAACTCTTGGAATTGGTGTGTTTTCAGTCTGGAGGTCGGCAAACTTTGTCTATTTAATTCGATAGTTTACTTTCCAATTGTATCGTAAGATAATTTGATCACAAAAAAGGTTGCCTGCAAAAATATTTAGCCGTTTGTTGTGACCTATACTCCCAAAATAACTACGTTGTATAGGCCAAACGGTTCAATATTTTTGAAGGCACATTTATTCTCGATTTTATGATCAAATTATCTTACGATCCAAGTTGAAAAAATGAGTATATACGAGTTTTCAGTACCAAACTAATAGACAAAGTTTGTCGGCCGATTTCGAAAATTTTCGTAAATAAAATATTTGCAGGTTACGATGAGATGAAGCTATTCACAAAATTTCAGGCGGATGTTAGCAATTCAATAAAAAGGGTTCTGTGCCACGGATTATTATATATTATTTCTCAAAGGTAGGACTTCTAGTGAAATTTTAACTTTTATTTTTCGCTTATCGCTGGAACTTATATTTTTTATTAGTTTTCTGTTATTTCGAAACTGAAACTTTTTCCTATATAAATATGCAAGTAAAGGTTAAACAGAACTTTTATTATTTTAAAAGCATTTAAGGCAAATACCAAGTTCTACCATAAATATTGTTACAAAAGTTGAATTTTTTTACATCCTTGGGTATTATTTAGATAATCCTCACCTCTATCAGGTTATTTTCATTACATATCAGGATAATAATCCCAATTAGTTTGTATTTTCTTTCGCTCAGTAAACAATCAGTGGGGTGTAATGAGACCCTATCTGTATGTGACAGATCTCGACCGGGCCGTCCCCGCACTATGAGAACGACTAATGGTGCGAGAGCAGTGGCTACTCGAAAAAGAAGAAATCCCATTCGAAAACAACAAATCATGTCTCGGTAAAAGGTAAATCTCTGTCACACGAATGTCTCACATAATAAAAAGTGACTTTAGGATGGGTGCATTTCGAAGAATGACAGGACACAGGCTAACCAACCACTTCCCTAAACAAAATGGATAGATACAAATTGCTCCTAGGCCTTTACACCAATGGTCTTCATCGAAAGATTTTGTTAAGCGATGAGAAGATGTTTAGAATTGAAGAAAAATTTAATCGGAAAAATGATTGTACGTACGCACACAGTTCAGGCCAGGAAATTATTGGAAGAGTGGAAAGAAGTCATCACCCCTCCTCGGTGATGGTTTGGTGGGGAGTTTGCTTTGATGGCACAAAAAGCATTTTTGTGAAAAAGGAGTTAAGACAGCCGTTAAAAACTATCATAACGATATTTTGGAACCTGTTGTCAAGCATCTAAATAATACTCTATTAGCTGGAAGTCATTGGGTTTTCCAGCAGGGTTCCGCTCCAGCTCACAAGGCCAAGTCAACTCAGGAGGTCCTGTGGAAGCCCTGATCTCAGCCCACTAGATTATCGGTTTTGGTCCGAACTGGAAAGGATGGCATACCATAGAGCACACCCTAACTTGTAAAGCCTCAAACAATCTCTGGTCTTAGCAGTTGAGCGCTTTCCTCAAGAAGTGCTACGTGCTGCTATTGATGACTGGCATCGGATATTAAATGCCTGTGTCAAGGCAAAAGGGGGACATTTTTGTTTTACTCTGTATAGATATATAATTTATTTTCTAATAATTTTTTCGAAAAAATAATTTTTCTGTTGAAATATGTATATATTTCCTTGTAACAATATTTATGACAGGACTACGTAAAGCGGTAATAGACACTTTAAGATACATTTTCATCATTACTGTGAACCACACCTTTAATTCTGTTGGTGGATCTTTGGAAATGAGGTTAATTGTCAGATAATTTAATATTTTATCTAATTTTTTTTCTAATCAATGATTTATGAAAAAATTAGAAAATTCTGACTGCGTATTTTGCACCATCAGTAGACACTTAGGTTTTTTTTTTACCTGTACTTGCACCACTCCACAAAAGGAAGTTCTGGGGTTAAGTACTTTGTAAAGAAGTATTGTTTTTTGTTCAACGGTTGTGCAAAAAGGTGATTTCACCGAGATAAAGATATTTATCGTCAAAATAGATAATGAGATACATTTTCTCACATCAGATACATTTACTTTTTATTCCTTGCAGATTGTTTATGGTATATTAGCAACTAAAAAAAATAATTTAAAGACTAATAAACAAGTAGGACAACATTAGGATATTTATGTAGTCAAGTATATAAAGTAGAAAAAATAATGATAAAAATTAAATTAATAACATTATTCCCTAATCGGTCCACAAGGTAACATTCATATATGGTTAAGATATGAAGGTTTTTAATCCACGTTCCAATGAAATGAAGCATGTGGGATATTAAGAAGGAGAGAATTCCAGAGGTAGGTGAAACAGACGAGAGAGGAATGTTCGGATGCCACAATCCTAATTGAAGAATTATTCGTCAGAAGGAAAAAGTCATATAAACTGAGCAGTAGGAGTTGAATTTTAATTTTAGATATAAAAGCGATGAATTTTAATAGTGTTTGAAGGTAACTAAGGATGTGTTTCTTATGCATGGAAGTAATGAGATGCTCCATTTAGAAAAATAAAATGCTGAAGAATAGCCATCAGAAATGTGGTGAAGAATTTAATAATCCGGTTTTAAACAAAAGAACACTCCACATGTGAGAAACCTTATTTTAAAAGGATCTATATACATAAAATAAATAACACCTTTTTTTACGTATTTAATTTCATTTGAAGGTTCAAGTGAACCTTTCAATAGTTCTCGATCAAAGCTAAATCCTTTACCCTTGCATTGCTAAATTTAGTCAAGGTGTTTGTATCAAAAGGGAAGAAATAAACAATAATTTTTTTCTTTAATAGTACATTTTGTTCGCGAACTCAATAACTCGAACTCAAAAGCAATGTTTGATCACAAAATAGATAAATAAATGCAATTTAGAGTGGTTTTAAATTTTTTAAACTACAGAATATACTATTTACCTCTGTAATAGAAAGAAACGGATATGACATACAATTATTTAAAAACATATCATCAATAACAAGAATTCTACTTTTGTCCAATTTTATAGGAAATTATCATTTCCTTTTTCTTCTACATAATTTCATAACGATAATAATATTTTTTCACCATTTTTGAAGTGTTATTGTACATATATTAATTACTTTGTTCAACATTCTGCAAATTTGATTCGGGATTTTTAAATATGGAAATATTTATCGAATATATTTTTAATAATTGGATATTTTTTATTTCCTTGTTCCATAGTTAGATATATATGTTTTTCCTTGTTTTTAATGGAGACAAATTTATCTGGTATTGCTAAAAAATACATATCATATAAAAAATAGAGCACCTTCAGTTAAAAATATGTCTATTAATGTTTTGAATATTTTTTTTTCAGGCCATTATTTTCAATTAATAACTTGCTCAGAATACTAAGATAATTATTTAAATAGTGCTGTGATTCGTTTATTCATTTATTTTTATTTTTATTTTTTTTTTGGCATTAAGATTTTAGACAGAATCCTATTTTGTCAGAAATTTATAGTTATTTAAGCATTAAAGCCGTAATTTTTTTTTAATGAATTTTCTAATTAGATTATATCTTTATCATTCTAGCTCTTTTATTTTATTAAGAATATTTCGTGCTTAACCCCCCGAAATGTTTCCTCTTCTCGTTGCTAAACCGCTTAATGTACATTGCTGAATGTATTGGGTCCTCGACTTCGTCACACTTTGGTCAAATTTATTTATTTTGATAAAATTTAAGATTTTATTTGTACAGCCATGATTGGTCCTCAACCTAATTAGATTTGTCACTTCACTTCTTTCGAAGCATATTCCGACAGAAGCGAACCACAGTTTTAAAGAAATTTTTGGTAGGATTAAATAGTGGTCTCTACTTTTGTTTTGGGACTCCCAGTCATATAAATCCTGCCATTTATTAATAATTGTTTTACTTAGTATACGGAAAAGCTCGAGCAATTTGATCTCAAATTACATTTCCGTGAATGCTCACATGTCCTGGAACCCACTGGAATGATGAGGACCAATATATTTGCTTGATGTGGTAATTACATCAAGAATTTTATAAAGAATTTAAATTGTATTTGGAGTTCTATGTGCATTTTTAAGGCAAACGGAGGCTGAATCTGTGAGAACCACAATATTACACTTTTTATAGTCGAGGTGAATATGTATTGCGGCCCTATAAACAGAAAGTTGTTTATTTTCTTAACTAAAAAGTTTTCGAAATTTGATGAGCGCCGTTTTGAAAGTAATCTCTTCCAAGCAATTAAAATATCTACGTTTGACAGCAATATAATAAATGGGCACTATGTAATTGTGGTATGTATTATAAAGTCACTAACATCTCAACATTAATTACAAAATATATCTAATAATAACACATAATTATAAATTGTAATATAATTATAAAAATAAGCAAAAATGAGAATAGAACTAATAAAAAAATAAAATAAACATAAGTAAATAATAAAGACGAAGAGCGAAATTCGTACAATAAAACGTAATACTGTTCGCGTTTCCATTTAACGACAAAGACTGAAACTAATATAAAACTTGCCGAAGAAAGACAACTTGTCTTAAGGCAGAACGCATACCCTTCCCTTAATTAAAAACGGGCTTACTGCCATTTATAACACAAATCGACTTCGACAGACATACTTTAACAAAGAAATGCAATTTAAGTAGAGTGGCGGCGTTACCAATTTTGATCATTTTCCTTGCTTGTATTTTCAATTAAATGATTCACTATAGTCACACATAAATTATTTTGGGAATTCTTGCTGTAGACTATTCTTACAAGAGATATAAAATTTAAAAAACTAATTGAATAATATGATGCGTAAATCACTTTATCAATGATTGTTAGTAAGATATTAAACTGCCGATCTTGCCATTATTTTGCCAGCAAGAATCTTGAAAATGAGCAGATCATTTTGAATATTGGAAAATTTGCTAAAAATACCACTATTATTTTTGAAACTACTTGGAACATTGAGTTTGTGATGTAAAGTAGCAAGACTAATCCGGAATTATCGACAATGATGATCTAACTTTGAGGAAAGCAATGGTTACCTAAAGGCTTCCGTATAACCAGCAAGGATAGTCATAGTGTTACGAGAGATTAGTCATGCAAAGTTAAGCGTTATAAATTAATAATCGTTAAGAAGAAAAGTAGAAACCGAGGAATAATTTATGAAATAATAACTAGGCGAGAAACTGAATGATTCCGCAACAGGTGTCAGCAGGAAGTATCAATCTAAAGTTAATAAACTATTTCAGCGAGCAGATCTGAACTGATAATGAGAAGAAGAAATGTTGTAGGGAAAACCTCAGACAATTCTCCTCTAACGATGATCCATCTTATCGTTATAATTCGCGAGCGACGTTTGGTCTCAATATTTTTTTGGGGGAGGAGGAAGGGAGGAGAATGGGGGCCTTAATAGTGAAACCGCCCAAAGCGGACACTTTTGTATACCAAACGCTATTATGAACCTCATCAAACTTTAAGTAATTGTATAGTATAGTAGATCTTCCGAATACCGCACTCCATACCGGATACAGACTGGCCGTTTTTATTTTTTTTTTGTGGAAGTTGAATCTCATCAAGACCTGGAAAATCATTATTCCATTTTTCAAAGATGTCTTTATCTTCTGTAGAAAGAGTTGTTTTGAATTGTCTGCATCACATCAATCAAACTTTTGTTTAACATTTCCAAATCTTCAACTACTTTATTTATTTATTTACAGCCTACCTTGCCTTACGGCAATACGGGTTTTAGCGAAGATAGCATAATAAATACAACATCTATGAAGCTAACTCTACCATTTAGACATTTTCAATGGCTTCACTGTAGTTCTTGAAGTTCATACCTTAAGGCACTAGCGGATCCAGGATTCAATTTTGGGGGGGCTTCAGCCCGAAATCTTTTTTTTCAAAAAGATAACAATAATTACTTTGGAAAAACAGAAAGAAACTAACTACCTATATGAAATAGTGTTTAAGTGATTCCTTAAGTCCTTTTAAGTGTACTTAAACGAACAATAATACTTTAAGAAACATGGTTATATTTTACCATTTGGGGGGGGGGGCTTCAGCCCAAAAGCCCTCCCCTCCCCGTAGATCCGCCCGTGCCTTAAGAAGTTCTGTACGTTGTGGATTGTCCCTTCTGCAGCCTCCCGCCTTCGCCTAGGTGCACCAAGGGTGAAGTGTTCTGGTCCCACTATAGTCTTCCATCCGTAAACGAACTCTTCGAAATACGGGTAGTTCTCTTCTAACATGAGGAGCGAAAAATCACTTTCAGTTATAATATATTAGTTTTCCTACTTATGGTGTTTCTGAGCCCCTCAAATACAGTGCAGGCCATTACTACATGTTTGGCAGTTACCGAAACGCTGCAACTGGAACATGAGGGGGGTCGATTCGGGGGGAGAGGGGGATGGTCCTTGCCAAAAGTATGCAGTTTGGTCCAA